AGGGTTATAGCACGTCAACGGGATCGGAGTCCAAACCCAGAGTACACGGCTGTACCAACGACTGGTGACAAATCACCAAAGAGCACATTCCACCCCGAAACGCCAGCCTAAGCTGATGTCCTCTCAGGGCTAAGGGTGTATCGGGTCCCAGCAAGACATCATTTTTTTTCCTGAGTTACTTAGTGGAAGGCGGCAGCACCTTTTGAACAGTTTATGGAGTTTTAGATATCTCTATGGGAACTTCAATAGACTTTTTTTTTTTATCCTCATCCGAGGACATTTTTTTCATTTTTTTGTTCAGATAGAGTGGGAGGGAGAGAGAGAGAGAAACATCAATGTGAAAGGGACACATTGAGTGGCTGCCACCCGCACGACAAACCAGGGCTGGGGACAAACTGCAACCGAGGTACATGCCCCTAGCGGGAACCGAACCCTCTCTGAACCGCAGGCCAATGCTCTAACCGCTGAGCAAAACTGGCCAGGGCAATAGACTTTATTCAATGTTCATTAACAGGGCCCATTATTGCTTCCTTCTCTTTCTGGGCAGTGCGTTTTAGCAATGCTTATATACTTCTGTGCTGTTTTTATGAGTTGACCCATAATCATAGTTCCCTGTCAGTGTTCCCGAGTCTCATCGGCACTCTTCTGTCCGTCTACTTTTCCACTTTCACGCCAAATGGAAAACAAACCAGACTTAGCAAGGAGAGACTTTTATTCCGAAAGATAATAGCGAAGTGGGGGAGGGCCTCGATCTGTGAGTGTCTTCGGAATGAGGCATAAAGAGTTTTTTTACAGAGGAGTAAACAGGGCTACATACCACGTGTAGGGAAGGGACAGGATGAGACGGCAGCTCATGGAATCGTTTTCCCTGAGGCTGGATCTCCGGAGGGGCTGGATGCTGACTCTGGCTGAGGGTGGGCCAGCGTGTAGGGGCCTGGAAGAAGGAGAGACGCTTAAGCAGTTCAGTTAACAAGTATTTTGTTCTGATTGATCGGTGGGGTAAGCGGTTCAGAATCATCTACGAGGCGATGAAAGGGAATCTGGAGGGTCCTTGTCTTATTTACCTGTGACAACGTGGGCATCCGTGTAGCTCCTTCGTGTGGGGGATGGCGGTTCTTCACAATAAGCTCTTTTTTGGAACACAGAGAGCAGGGAGACTCCTGAACCTCCATTGTTTCCCCAGATCACGGGGCTCTTCACATTCATGGTCAGGAAGCATCGCTCGAATCCACTAGGATGGCTTTTACTGCAAGTAACAGAAAACTGGACTAACGGGGACTTAAAAAGAGGTTTATATTTCTCACCTTACAAGGAATTCATAGGTCAACAGCTGCTGACATTGGTTTACTTGATCAATGATGCCAGTAAAACTCTGAGTCTTCTTACTCTGCCTTCTGATGTTTGTTACCTCTTTATCACAAAATGGCAGCCGCAGCGCCAAACAGGAAGGATGGCCTGAAAGAAGGGAGCATCTTCTGCTTCTGGTCATTGTATTCTACACTAGGTATTGATGATTCTCTACCATTGAGTACTTCTTTCACTATCTGAAGTGTAGGAAATCAAATGTTCTGTAAATGGAGCATTAGACAAATAAGTAAGCAGTGTGTTTTTCAGTGTGGTGAAGAAATGGAACCCTTCTGTAGTTGAAAGCCAAGAACCTTTTGAGTAAACTTAATGAGAGTTGTTTATGGAAATGTTGGGAAGCTTAGGAACATATCTGCAACAAATGTTACACAGAGTGTTTATGTCTCTAATTTTAAGGAGTTCAAGCAATAGTAAAACTCTGCCCAAAGTAAGCTATGATTTGTACTTTTTTTCTATCAAATTGTACAAACAGTGGTACCCAATCCTGGTGAGATGATCCGTTGCTACTGGTGAGAGTATAAATTTTCTTAAAAAGGTATAAAAAGTAGCCTGGCTGTGTGGCTCAGTGGTTGAGCAATGGCCCATGCACCAAGAGGTTGCCAGTTCGATTCCTGGTCAGGGCACATGCCCAGGTTGTGGGACAAATCCCCAGTGGGGGGCATGCAGGAGGCGGCCAATCAATGTTCTCTCTCATCGATGTTTCTATGTCTCTCTTCCTCTTCCTCTCTCTCTAAATCAATAAATGGAAAAAAAAAAATTTTAATGTATAAAAAGTATAAAGAGCCCTCAAATGTTAATATCTTTTACCCTATAGTTTATCTCTTTGGAAGCTTTCCTAATAAAAAAGTTAGAATTGTGGACCAAATTGCTCCATATGAAATAATAGATTACTCCAGTGGTATTTATATTTGTAAAAATGTTTGGAAATAGAAATAACTTAAAAGAATAATTAAATTAGGTGTGACTTCTCCACAGCTTCAATATAATATTGTTAAAAATAAGAATACAAGCTGTGGCTACCATATGATTCCCATTTTTGTAACATATAGATGTATTTGTTTACGTAAAAGAAGTATGTCAAATATTGCCAATAGGTATTTGTGGATAATGGGGCCACATGCCATTTTTATTTTCTAGATTCTTTTTAGGCATTTCCAATTTTTTAATAATATGAATTATTTCTATAATTATAAAACATTCACTTAATTTTTTTTTTAAAGACAAAATAAAAACGTGAGTCTGTTTGCTGAGATCCTTTTCTAAAGGAAATAACGGGTGAAAAAAGTGCTTTGACCCAAGAACCCGGGCGGGGCTGTGCAGCACTGAACCAGAGCCTTTTATTGACAGACTCGGAAAGGTGTTACCGAGACTCTTGTTCCTGTGCCTTCTGGCCTTTCTCAGTTCGGCCACGAAGGGAGTGTTTAAAGGAAGTTGTCACAATAGTTCATTCTTCAGTATCCACGTAAATCACACCGTTCTATTTTCCTCTTCCTCGCGGGCTTCTGTTTTCTTTTCTGTGATCTGTCGAGGACTGAGGTCACCAGGGCTGCGGTGCCCTTCAGGAGGGGAAAGGAACCGGCTTTAGGAAACCGTTTGTCTTCATTTATCCAGATAGCCACTGCTAACTCAGGTCAGGTTGGGGAGATAATCATCTCAAGACATAATTGTCCCTTCTGCCCAGTATGTGTTGAAAATGGGGCCCCAGTGTTCCTGAACAAGTTGCTAATTGTCTCTCTTCCAGAGGTGATTGAAACGTGTGGGTGTAAAAAGGTGCTACACTAAAGCCTCACTATCTCTCCATGTGTGGGTGTGAGGGGAGGGGACAGGAAGGAGAGGTTTCTCCCCTGGTCTGTCCTCCCCTTGGGTCATCCAGGGCACAGCACGCAAGGGATTTGGATCTACTAGATTGTCATTTTATGACTGGAAACCCTTAGTACAGATCACATACTTTGGAGCTGGAAAATTCTTAGGAATTCAGGTTCAGTTTTACCTTCCATTGCTTGCCAGGTACTTTTACACGTATTTGCGATTCCTAAACTAGGAGACCCTTGAAGCCTCGTGGTATCTGGAGAGGTTCATCATGGTGCCCCCTTGACTTCACAGGAGTCTCTAGCACAGTGTTGAAAAGGATGGCTTCGTTTATGCACAATTACCCACTGACGTTGTGTTAGCACATGGAGGCTGACTGCATCTAAAGGCTTTCTTTCTCTTTGTTTGCTTTTGCATTGACATTTGAGCGCCGTCGGTTCAACCTCAACAACAGAGCCCGTGGACAAGGTGATGGGACTTTCAGTTGCCATCGTACAGAGAGTGAAGAGCTGTACCCCTAAATGTATCCCTAAGTCAGTGAAGGGGTGTGGTGTGGCCGACTCCAGCCCAGTACCCTCCAGACAGGGCTCTTGTACTTTGGAATCTAGAAATGTTTCTTTTTTTTTTCCTGAATAAAAGGGACTAATATGATCTGAAATGGGTGTTTCTTCTCCTTTTTAGTCCTGTGTACACAAGTCCTTTTTATTTATTTTTAAAGCAGTTGTTGAGAAATTCTGTCTTGGAATTGATAAAACAGTGTGTTGGGTTTCATTATTCCCCAGGAATATCTAAAATAGTAGCCTGTCCTCAAATGCTAGCTGCCTAGATGACACCCCCACTTGGATGTTTAATAAGCATCTCAAACTCAAAGGCAGAATTCTTCATTATCCTACAGACCACAAATGATCTCTTCCCCAAGTTTTTTCTGTCTTAGAAAAAAGAACTCCCCATTTGCCTGGTTGTTCACGCAAAGGTTCTAAGAGTTATTCGTAATTCTTTGCTTTCTCTCTCCCCATAGTCAGCCTGTCCCCACAGCAGTTGCTGTTGACATTACTTCCAACATGTATCCCTAAATCATCGACTTCTCCCCATCACGGTTGTTGCTGCCCCGTTCAGATCACTGTCCTCTCTGGTCCAGACTACTGGACTGTCTGCTAAGTCTTCTTGCTCCCTTATGATCTATTTTCTACCAAACAGCAAGAATCGTCCTTTTAAAGTCATACTCTGTTCAAAGCCAGTCATTGGTTTTTCACAGTTGTTAGAACAAAACATTTTACCTTCATGCTGGTTTACAAATCCCTTTGGGGCCTAGCCCCACCCCTCTGTGACCTCAGCTCCTACCACTCTCCCCCAGCCACAGTTCTCCAGACCCCCTGACTTTCTGCTCTTTGAGCCTGCCAATCCATCAGCCCAAGGGCTCCCCCTACTGGGAACGATCTGTCCTCATCTTCCAACGAATCACTCCTCATATTTCGGAATAGGGGTTCTGATCATGTTGTCCCTCATAGAGACCTTTCCTGACCTCCTGATTCTTTAGAACCCCCTCTCCTCCAAATCAAGTCCCATTGATCACATAACCCTTCTTGGAACCTATTTACTTTAGCCAGATACTATTTATAGCTGTCGCCGCCACCCATGCTCCAGCCAAATTTAAGACCCACGAGAGCAGGGTCCTCATCTGCTGTTTCATCATCACGGCACCAGGACCATAGGAAGGTGTTCAGTAAATGGTGTGGCATGGACCCCAACCTCAGACACGCCACGCAGCCCAGCTGTCTGTCAACTTGGAAATCAATAGGTTGTTTCTGCCTGTTCTGTTTCTGCAGAAGACTGGACTTTATGAGTATAAAGTCTTCGGTGTTCTGGAGGATTGCCCGCCGGCTCTGTTCACAGAGGTCTATATGGACTTAGAGTACAGAAAAAAGTGGGACCAGTTTGTTAAAGGTGAGTATCCCCTACTGCTTTATTTGAAGTCAATGAGAATATAGAATTTTTGTTGTTATTTTACTTTATTGTTATTTATTCTATCTAGTAGAAAGCAACGGGTTAAATTTCTACTCTGTTATGTTTCATTTTTAATTTTGGCATAAAAGTCTGAAGTGCCGGGCTGAACTGTGCCTAGGACTTGCTCTTTGCATACTCTTAGATCCATTCTCCAGTTTGCTCTGAGGGCTACTTGGCTCTCTCTGTAAGCTGGTTGTCATTCTGTATACTGATGTGTCTTGGAGGGCTTCCTGGAGGTGGTGGTGTCCAAGCTCTGATTTGAAAGTTGAATAGAAGTTTTTTTGTTTTGTTTTTTGCTTTTTTTTTTGGTACATGCCCCTAGCAGGAACCGAACCCGGGACTCTCTGGTCCGCAGGCTGACGCTCCAACCGCTGAGCCAAACCGGCCAGGGCTGAGTAGAAGTTTTATAAACACAAGAATACTATACATGAGGAGGTGAGGCTAAGGGTGTAAGGGCATCCTAGGCCCAGAGAACAGCACAAGTCAAGTCAGGAGAACATGAAACAGCATGACAGGTACAAATTGTGAGTAATGTGGTAGCAGACTCTGGAGCGAGGGTGGAAAAGGGTCCAGGTCCCCACGGGCCTAGCCTGGCTGCTAGTGTGCAGTTCTTGGCCTTTACCCTGTGAGTGATGGAGAGTTACGAAGGGCATCCAGCGGGACCCTCCTGCCACAGAGCCGGGAGAGACCTGTGCCACCTCGGTGCCGGTGGAACAGAACTACGGAGCTGCCAAGGGGCACACACACTCGGAAAGACCCTTGCTGTAGCCAGGGCTCCTGGTTGCAAGGAACACAAAGCCAACTGATGCCAGGGTAAGGAAAGGGAAGAGAGGTGAGTGGTTCATGGCACTGAGAACTCCCTGGGTGTCTGGCTTGCATGAGAGTTGCCTCCAATGCTTGAATCGTTGCTCCATCTCTTGGTTCAGTGTTCTTCTGAGTCCTCGGGCAGATTCCTATGTCATGGCAAAGGTGGCCACTCGAAGATCCAGGCTTCCAAATAACCGTAGGACTAACCCCAGAGCCCCAGGACTGGCTTTCGTCAGCTCAGCAGGGATCACATGCTTATTTCCTGTGGACATTTGTCATGGTTTTAGGTCACTTACTGTTTTCAAATATGCTTCGTATCTAAGGGGAACTGTGATGCTCGCCCGTCCAAGGGAGGGACGATGTCTTCTCTGTCGCAGGCCCCCTGGCAGCCATGGTCCAGCCGTGTGGTACGGAAGTGGCCAATAAGATGCCCACGGGGCTTCAGTTTGGGAGAGAGCAGCGTGGGGAAGCGGGCAGCATGCAGAATCGTTTTCTGGCGACGGTCACAGCAAAGGCCTCCTGACTCTGGGGAGAGTCGCAGAGCTTCTGACCTTTGGTACTCTCGTCACACGGCGGTGTCTGGTCCACCAGGCTGGCTTCTCTGGAACAATCCTGGGGCTCTAAACAGAACTCTGGCTCCTGGATGTTCTGTGAGCCACCCGAGAGCCTTTACTCAGCCACTGTTCAGCGTAAACCTGCTCGAGCGGCGAGCTCAGACCCTGGCCAGAGGCGCCATCCCTGAGCTGGACCCGGGCCAGGGCTTGCTCATTTTCCCAGCCCTGGAATGAATGCTGAGCCAGTTCTGCCTAAACCACACGGTCGAGAGGAGAGGGAAGGGGGGTGCCCTGAAGGAGAATTGAGGTGCTGGTCCAAGAAGGCGGAGTCAGTGCTGAGCTGGGGAAAGCAACAGGTGTCCACTCCTGCCCTTTTCCAGGCCGTCTTCCACCTCTGGGGCACCAGTGGGCTGACAAGCTCTCTCATAGCTGTTCTTTCAAAAGATGAGTTAAATAATACATCTTCCCCATCGCATCTCAAGGGACCCTCTTGATTACTTCAGCAGCCCTGGCGTGGCTCCCTCTCTGAATGGTTAGGGAGCAGCTCACTGTACCTAACAGGCTGTGTACCTCGTTGAACCCCCTGGCTTCTCCCTCCACGAGCGGCTGCTGTTCGCACACGACAGCAGGATGGGATAGTAAGGGAGTTTCACTGCAGCGGTGCTGTGGTGTAAAGAAACATGGGAGAGAAGGAGGATACTTTGGGTTGGCCACAGTCATGCCACTTTCTCGCCGTTTAGGAAGGACACTGTCCTCTCCGGAACCTTTATTCCCAGCTCAACACACTAGTCTGGGTGACTTAGCCCTGAGCCAGTGGTCTGGTCCTAACATCTAAGGGAAGAAAGGTCTGAAAAGTAAAACTGTTGGTACTCTAGTGACACCTTGTGGTTACCCTGATTTTAAAACCCACAGACTTGTTTTTGGATGCCTGATGGTGTTTCATTGCATCCTACCTGAGAATCTTGTTTTGCTCTGAGGTAGACACGTTTTGTTGTTTTTTCTATTTTATTTTGACTGTACTTTTATATCTGATAGACTGTGCTCTGAGGCAACAAGTTGTCGGTGGTAAAAAACTGGCCTGACTCTTTCTAGAAGTCTATGCCGAATACGTTAATAGTTTACCATGCCGCACGAGGTCACCCTACCTAGGCTTCATGTTAATTCAGTCCAAGGAGGCTTCCAGATGCACTAACTTCTTTTGTTCTCCTTAGAACTCTATGAAAAAGAATGCGACGGCAAGACCGTGGTCTACTGGGAAGTGAAGTACCCCTTTCCCCTGTCCAACAGGGATGTATCCTTTCCCAAGGTGCACCGTCACTGCTTTCTAGGCATCGCGGTGCCCCGTGGCCGTCCCCCGGGGGGGCGTGTCCAGCAGGTGCGCACTGCCTTGGACTCTGGCAGAAGCGCCTGCTAAAGCTGTTATTGCGCCTTGCTTCACTTTGGGAGACGTCAGAGTGTGATTTCTGGGCCTGACCATGTGGAACGTGTGTCGTGGTCACTGGAGGGCTGCTTCTTCTCTCCAGGGAAGTTTTCTAGGGCTTGAAATTGTTAGGCCACAGGACTGGCGACTTGGAAAGAACTTTTTATAGAGAGTTTCACGTAGTCCCTCAGTCTATAGAGAGGAAAAGTGACAGAGGGATCATTACAGGTGATGAGGGGCAGTGTGGGGACTGGAACCCAGGCTCCTACAATTCTAGCTTTTCTCGTACCCCCTCATGTCTTATGGACCCCACTGTGGTCCCTCTATCACTATGGGCTCTGGACACGGAGTATATGTTTCTCCCCCTCAGTTTCCTTATGTATCTTACGATGAGTTGATATGTGGGAGTTTTAGCTGCCACTGCAAGGTTCTGGGAAGCCCACTTAAGACTGGCCTGGGGGGTGGATGGGATTGGCTGGGCGGCAGCTGGGGTAGGGATGACTGACAGGCAAGCTTTCTCTTCAGATCACAGCAGCGAGCACTTTCCCACTGAATTTCCATACAAGATCCTTTTAGCAGAGGGGTTTGTGGATGAAAGAATACGTTTTGGGAACCACTGAATTAGATCACTGGGATCTGTCCTAGCTCTCGCATTCTATCGGTCTGCTTGTTCCTACATAATTCTTCTCTAAAAACAGAGGGTGTGTTCTGTGTGTGTTGTCTGCTTGTGTTTTTTTAATCCTCACCTGAGGACATTTTTTTTTTTTTTGCATTTACCCTCAGATAGAGGGGGAGGGAGAGAGGGGGAAGAGAGAGAGAGAAATATCGATGTGAGAAAGACACATCGAATGGTTGCCACCCACACGACCCCAACTGGGGCCGAGAACAAACTGCAACCAAGGTACGTGCCCTTAGCGGGAACCGAACCCAGGACTCTCTGGTCTGTGGGCCAACGCTCTAACCACTGAGAAAACCAGTCAGGGCATCTGCATGTGTTTTTTGTTTTTTTTTGTCTCTACATGTGTCTACCCTAGATTTGAAACTCCATGAGGGTTTATTTATTGGCAAAGTTACCATAGTGCCAGAAAGGTTGTATACACATGGCACAGATTTCAACAAGTTGTGGATTCATCAGCCCCTTAGGTCTTAGGCGGTTTTCTCTAATCCTGCCGATCACGGTGCAAGGCAGACACATCACCCCCGTTTCACAGGGAGGGAAACGGAGGCAGAGAAGTTCGGAACCTGACTCCGGTCCACACAGCCAGTGGGTGGAAAAGGCAGGTCTGGGACCAGGTCAGCGTCTGCAGAGATGGTGACCTTGAGCAGGCCGTGGCCGTCCCTGACCTCGCAGGGACGCAGGGACACTGCTGGGGAGGCTTTCTCAGCAGTGAGCACTCGGGGCTCCTTAAACGCTGTTCCATTGGCTCTCCAACGCCGCACAATCCCAGGAGTTTTCTTTAGTCTGTTTATATGCATATCTGTCTTTCCAATAAGCATGGTTAGATGTTTGAGAACAGAGACTAGTGCAGGGGTAAAGAACAGCATTTTGGGGAGCAGGGTCCCGGGTTGGGCATGTACCCATTCTCCAGCTGGCTGCGTGACCTGGGCCTCCGTGACCTGCTGGTTCTCCAGTCACAGGCTGCAGGCCGGACCTTCCAATCCTTCAACCCTCCCCCCATTTTAATCAGCATGTGTATCGAATTAATTTTTTCTTCAGTGGCATGTCAGGGGACATCTGTCACGTGAGCTAAGTTGTGGGAAGAAGTGGGACGATATTTCCTGTTAAGTGGGAGAGAGGAGCTCCAGAGCCCAAAGCAGCATCGTTTCTTTCCTAAAACATTTCACAACCTGACTCTTCATGATGTAGAGGCTGTGGGCAGTAGACCGTCTGCAGGTGCCTGAGCGATGCGTGGGTCACCGGCGGGCGGCCTGGCTCTGATTGTTGCTGGTATAGAGAGCGCAGCTGTGTTATACTGGGAGTGACCGTCCATTGTCTTAGGCTTTTTTTTATTTTTTTATCCTCACCTGAGGACATTTTTCCATTTTTTGTACAGATAGAGTGGGAGGGAGACAGAGGGAGAGAGAGAGGGAAACATCGACGTGAAAGGGACACATCGAGTGGCTGCCACCCGCACGACCAACCAGGGCTGGGGACAAACTGCAACCGAAGTACATGCCCTTAGCGGGAACCGAACCCGGGTCTCTCCGGACCGCAGGCTGATGCTCTAACCGCTGAGCCAAACCAGCCAGGGCTGTCTTAGGCTTTTAATTGCTTCTAGTGTTAAAGCTAAAATGCTGCCGTTTGAAAGTATAAAGAGTTGAGCCCCATCCACCTAGGAGTCTAATTAGGCTTTGAAGCCAGATCTGGGTTCCAATTCAGGTTTCATCACGTCAGCTGGGCTGCGGGATCTTGGGCAAGTGTCTTTACCTCTCTGATGTAATTTTGTCACCTGTGAGATGGGGATACTTATACTGAACTCACAGGGATTTGTCAGGTTCAAACTAGACGCTATAGGTGAAGCACACATTAATTACATGTAAGGGCTCAGTGTGGTGACTTAATCATTTCTTAGGGTTTTATGATCTTCCCTACAATAATGCTATAGACATAGTGGTGTTGTGTATTTACTGTGATGAAATAACTGTTCTTCTTGGCGAGCCAGTGTTACCTAAGAAACGTTCAGGAATTCCGTGCCTTCCTACGATCACCAGTTGCAACATTGCTCGCCTGTCCTCCGTGCGTAGGGGTCAGTAATTAGAGCTTTGGGGGAAGTCAGGACAAAGTGGAATGACTTGGAATGTTTATAGAGTGCTTATTCTGCTGCGGTCTCCCTAGAGTGCCCCCACCAAACCTGCCTGCTGGGCAGTGTTGCTCCCTTTTCGTACATAGGGAAACTGAGTCTCAGAGAAGCTGGGTAAATAAGCAGGATCACACAGCTGACAGGTGATCAACCCTCTGATTACCTCCCAGTGCCGCCTCAGCGAAAGGAGTGGTTTCCCTGCAAAACGGGAAGCATCAAGGAGATTCCCAGGTGGGCAATGCGTGCCCTCCAGTGACGCACCAGGTGGAAGGAGGCCACTCTGGCCGTCCAGGCAAGGAGACAGGGCAGATGGGTGGAGTGAGAACCGGGAGCACGTGGAGGAGCAGAATGCCCGCCTGTGGCTTCTGGCCTGTGGGGCTTTCCGTCTGCCCCGCTGAACACCGGTGTGGACGTGCACCTTGACTGGCACTGCAGTACGTCTACATCCGGGAGCGGCGGGACCTGGACGTGGAGGGACGGAAGGTCTGCGTGGTCCTGGCCCAGAGCACCTCCGCCTCGTGCTTTGCTGAGAAGCAGGGCGTGATCCGGGTGAAGAAGTACAAGCAGAGTCTGGCGATTGAGAGCGACGGCAAGAAGGGGAGCAAAGGTAAAGCCAGGGTGCACGTTGGCACCCCGGCCAGGGCCGCCCACGCGAAGGCCACGCCGACCGCGAGGCACGTAAATGGGTGAGGCTCGTTCTCTGAGGTCGGAGACTGGGCAGGGGTGCAGAACACACGAGGGATGAACACCTGGGGAGAGACTCAGTTCGGCCCAGAAGCTTGGCCGGAGTACCAGGGGGTGTTGAAGTCTGACTCACTCCATTCTTGACGGACTCTTGTCCAGATGAACTAGAACATCGAAGTCGACCAGAGGGCTCAGAGGTGGGCCTGTGGGTGGGGCGCAGAGCCAGTAGGAATGTATCTGGGGCCACAGCTTCCTCTTAGCAAAAGCCCAGAGACTCCGGGCCTGCTGACCCTGAGTGCGACCCACAAGAAGGGCTGGGAGCAGAGCGGGGCAGCGGCCACCTGCGCTGCTGGAATGAGAAGGCCTCGAGTCTGAAGCAAAACCTGACTCCTTGTTCCCGGGCCTGTCAGACCTGTCACCTGGCCACGTCTCAAACTTCTCTGAGTCTCCGCTGTATTCTTCACACACCGGGGCTTCACTTCACCAGCTCCTTACAATCGTGAAGCCCACACAGGAGGGAAGTGATGAGACTCGATCCAAGTGCCTAGTCCTGGCCACGTGCTTGATAAATAGCAGCAAAATGTGCCTTGACTGAGTTTTCAAACATATTTCTATATCAATGTCCTGAGCGACAAGGCAGAGGAGAGGGTCCAGCTGAACGATGAGTCCCCTCCTTTCTTTCTGGTCGCGTCTGCAGGTGGCAGGCCCGTAGGGTTTGTTGCTGTACCTTTCTGACCGGTTTCTCCTCCTGACTGTGCTTTCTCCCCCTCCAGTTTTCATGTATTACTTCGATAACCCGGGTGGCCAAATTCCGTCCTGGCTCATTAACTGGGCCGCTAAGGTGAGATCCCAGGAGGCGGGGCGGGGCGGGGGGGTGGTTTTGACAAATGTTGACTTAGCCCACGGGGCTGTCAGGCCGGAGAGACATGCTGTCTCAAGCCTAATGAGGCTCTTTTATGAAGCCGCTTGGTTGAGTGACCACGATTAGGACTGGGGTTGCCAACACCCAGGATGAAGCTGGGACAAAAGACAAAGAATCCTTAGCCTGAATGCCATCCCCTCCCTGCTCGTGCCCTGAGACCCGGCCAGGATCACTCTCTGGAACCTCGGGACAATAGCCTGCTCTTTGTAGGAACAATGGTGCCTCTGGACCCTGTATCTGCTCATGGAGGAGCTGCCCTAGCTTGGGAGACAGCCAGACGTCTCCAAGCCCGGGGGAAGCCTCCAGGTTTGTTTTGTTCAGTAAGGAGAGGGAACCCCCGGGGGGAGCCCAGAGACTGCCTAGGAGCCTGTCTTCATGGGGACCATTCAGCCTGCTTTGGGCAAGTTCTGCGTACTGGCTGGAGGGCTCAACAGATCCCTGGGGAGAGTGAGAAAGCTCACAGGCTGTGGGTCAAACCCCTGTGTGTTGGAATCCAGGCGCTGCTCTGATGGTGCAGTCCACAGAAGCATCGCGCTTTTCCCTTTTAAATGTGGAGATGGATATGACCCCTCAGAGAGGGCGAGTAGATAAGACAGTGTTGGGGGACATCTTGCCCAATGATCAACACTCATTAAGCAATAACATATCCACCCTCATGTCCTCAAATCCTCACCATTCTCTCATTCTGTAAAGCAAGTCCATTCATTTGTTTAGAAGACTCGGACAACCCAGCCCGATCCCAACTCCCGTGTTTTCTTCTTAAGAAACAGTGTCTCAGAAATGTCTTAGCTGTTCACTAGCAAAGGCCAAAATATAAGGCAGTATCCTGCCTCTGTCATCTAGTCTCACCCACGACCTGGATCTCACCTTTCGTCATTACCTGTGGCGACATTCTGTTGAAATCCGGTCCAAGGCCCCACTGACTTCTGTTCTTCCCAAAGCCATCTTTGTTTACTTTAGCCACGTCCCAGAGACTCGGGAGTGATTGCTGTCTCCTTTGCTTTGCAGAATGGAGTTCCTAACTTCTTGAAAGACATGGTGAAGGCCTGTCAGGCCTACCCCAAGAAGACCTAAGGAAGGGACCTGGGAGCCTGGTGCCCATGGACTGATGTCTGCGGAAGAGCCACGACCCACGGACACTCAGCCTTCCTTTGCTTCTCCGTCTCCTGAGGCCGGCACGCGCTCCAGTGCAGCAGGCTGAGCCTCTGTGCCTGCGCCTGGCTTCCTTTCCCACTCTCCCGACCTGGGACCCCTGCCTTCTTCCCCTATTGAATATGGGTCAGATTAGGGAAACTTCTGCTTTGTTTTTCAAAAGGGAAGTCCTCCCATAGGGAACACAATCACTCCATTGTGCCATTCGAAGGGGGTGGGTGGGTGGGTGGGTGGAGGAGCTACAATAAAAACGTAAGAATGCCCCATCCAGGCGAGCTGGCTCCTGCCCAGAATGGGATTTCTTGAAACTCAGAGGGGGGGCCCCCCCGGAAGTCCTGTTCTCCTCAGAGCTGACTCTCAGTGAGCCAAGACTGGATGAGTATGCCATTGTCCATTTGCCTTAAGCTTTGGCGGCTTGATTTGGTGGGGATCTGAGGGGAGAGTCCAGTAAGTCTCTGCCATTCCCACTCCTGCAAGATCAAGCTGTTTTGATTTCAAACCCCCTTGAAAAGCATTGTAGGCCTAAGCCCATGATGTGATCACCGTTTTCTCCTCCTCCTCCTTGTCTGGGTGATTCTCTGTCCTGTAAGCCCCCAGGGAGAGGTTGTTCGTACCTCATTAGCTCTGCATTTTACTGGAAACTGAGGCATCGGGATGGCTCTGGTAGTTGTAGAGGCCAAGATGCTTTGCACACAGCCCTGTGATCAAGTGTCCTCCGCAGTCAGACGAATTTCCCTTCTGGAAGGTTTGGAGATGTTGAACGGAGAAGAATCTATGGCCAGGGGAATGTTAATTAGTGTGCTGTTTTTCTCAGGAATTCTACCCAAGTTGTCCTCTTCCACCACCAAAAGACTTCTAGTTTCCTATGTTTTCTCCTGAATTTTGGTAGGGCGAGATATTCTGTGGCACAACCTTGATGACCTCGGGAATAATGTATGCACTATGTGTGACGGTATCAAACCTTGATTAATAGGCATAAAAATTCAGGAATGAAAGCCAGAAAAGAAGCAAGGGATTTCTTAAAATGGGATACCTCAGAGTTTATATGTTCTCTCTAAGAAGGAAAGTTATTGAATAGCAAATAAATGCAAAGTAGCTTCTGTTTGTCCTGTCTGCTGTTCCCTTCCTTCCTTGATTTTTTTGTGAGAATGAATCAATTTGGTCTCTTGTTTACAAGTCACATCCAACCCAACCCATGGACTTGAATAACAACAACAAGGAATTTTTTTTTAATTTTATTATTTTTTTAATCCTCACCTGAGGATATTTTTCTATTTATCTTCAGATAGAGTAGGAGGGAGGGAGAGAAAGGGAGAGAGAGAGAGAAACATCAACGTGAGAGAGGCACATAGACTGGTTGCCTCGTGCACGACCCCGACCAGGGCTGGGGACGAACTGCAACCGAGGTACATGCCCTTGGCTGGAATTGAACCTGAGACTCATTGGTCTGTGGGCCAACGCTCCACCGTTGAGCCAAACTGGCCAGGGCAACAAAAAAGAATTTTAGGCTCACTTACCTGCAAGGCTAGTGAAGAATGGCCTCAGGTATGGGTTGATACAGGTGCTCAAAATTGACATTAGCATTCAGCTTTCTTATTCTTGAAGTTATTTTTGATGTTGGCTGTGTTTTGTGGCAGGGTTGCTGCTAACAGTGAAAAGTACGCTTGTACCTTCCCAGGCTCACACTGAGCAAAAAAAAGAAAAAGAGGTAGCGTTTTTTTTCCCCATTAAACTCACACCATCAAGGATTCCTTCTAAACCCTGTGTATATCCCTGCCCCAGTCATTGCCCTATGGATAGAATTATGCAATCAAGTGAATACTTCATAAATTCATCATTAAGATATTATCATGAGCCCTGGAAAGTTTGGCTCAGCAGTTGGAACATCGGTTTGCGATCCAGAGAGACCCGGGTTCGGTTTCTGCTAAGGGCATGTACCTCGGTTGCAGTTTGTCCCCGGCCCTGGTTGGGTTGTGCGGGTGGCAGCCACTCGATGTTTCTCTCTCTCTCTCTCTCTTCCTCCCACTCACTCTTAAAAAAAAAAAAAAGATATCATCATGAGTGTAGCTGGAATTTAATTATAAACAGAATTCAGTGCCTCGTGTTAAAAAGGTCAAGGTGAAAGTTCATATATCGACCTCTGAAACACAAGCACTTAGACTGCAGCTTTTGAGCAGAGAATGGACATTCAATGGCATCGTGCAAACCCCAGGTTTAAGAGTGTTTCCAAATTTGCTCGGAGCTCTGGGAATATTAAGAATACTGAATTGGAGGTAAGGCAGTCATAAAAAAAGTCACAGAGCTTGCTATCACTAGTCGAGTTTTGATTCTTTGGCCTTTCTGTTTACTCATCTGGAGAAGACGGTCCTGTCCGGCATCCACGTATGAGACCGTGGAAAACTGAGCAGTCCTGAGCCCGTCACCAGAAGTATAGGACCGCTGTTTCAGAGGTTCGGCGGGTCCTTCAGGGCACGCCTCTGGCGGGCCTGGATGCTCCCTTTGGAATCTGACAATACACATCATTGTCCTTCCTGTAGAAACAGGAATATTGCGCTGGTTATTGCCCCGTAGGGTAGGTGAGAACAGGCCTTCGGAGGGTAACTAAAGGAGTGACCATCTGAAGAAGACTGACCAGGTAACACATACCCAGTGACTAAACCCACCCAAAATAGAGATTTAATTAGATTACATTAAACAATAATTTAATATCATTTAATAATTTAATTCAAGTCAAATCATTTCCCCCAAATCATCATTTTGGGGTATTCTGGGTGCCCCTGGATCCTTCCTTCTAAGTACTGAGATCCCTTCTTCGTGAAGAACCGTCTTTGCTGGTGTGTCAACAGGTTATATTTTAATGTTTCGGAAAGGGTGCAGTCGGGACTGAGTCCAGCTGAAATTAGTCAGGGTTTCTGGAGTTTAATGAAAAAAGAGAAAGTAGCACTACTGTTTTTCCACAGGCGAGTTATTCACACCGCATAACAATTCAGAGTTAATGGCCACCTTGGAGCCGAGGAGTGCCAACAGAGGGTCACTTCCCTCGAACATGTTCCGACTTCCCAGCGAGAGTCCTGGCGCGGCTCCCTGGCGGCAAGTCCTCTCCCAGAACCCCCGCTGCAAGCCTGCCCTCCAAGCCTGCTGACGTCCCCGCAGGATACGGGGGGACCGGGCAGGAAGAGCCCCTTGGGTGCGCAGGTTTTTGGTAGCATGACCCAGTTGGCTTGGAGAATTACCTTTCGAATATACGTGTATGTATTCACTCAACAGGCATCCCCCGGAGTCCGATGTCCGTCTGTCAAGGGGATAGGCAGGGTGGGGGTGAGTGAGACAGGCCTGTGTCCACCCTCGGAGCCCCTGGCTGGTGGAGAAGACACAATGGACAAGCTGTTGGAAGGGTGATCAGTTTTGAGACAGAGCAAGGAAAGGGTGCTGGGCTGTAAGACAGGGCGCTAACCAGGTCGAGGGGTCAGGGAACAGCACGGAGTTGGATGAGCACAAGCTGGGGAAGAAAATCTTCACATGGAGGAAACCATTTGCACAAAACCCTGCGGGCAGGAGAGCAGTTACGTCTGGTCTGAGGACCCACCCACGGCCAGCACGGCTGTGGCGAAGGAATTAGAGGCATCTCCTATGCGGCTGAAGAAGTAGGCAATTGGGGGTGGGGGGTATCCTGAGAGCTACGGTAAGGATTTTGGACTGTCATCCCAGAACGCCAGTTAAGCTTTGAAGGATTTTAGGCTGAGGCACGACCTGATCAGACTGATGCATTCTTAACAGCTGCTCCTTCGCCCTGCATGGGACTCCACCCACCACCTCTGACAGGCCCTGGGCATCGTCCTGAGGACACCCTCCAAGGTGCTAAAGCCTTTGCCCTTGAGGCCCCTCCACCATCAGGCAGCACCAGAGTAGGCCGCACCCAAACCTCATTGCCAAAGTGGAGCATCAGCCTCTGAAGTTTAAGGGACAGGGAGCACCCATGCACATCCCCTCCGTGTCCGCTGGCCCATCTGGTGTGCAACGTACTCTCCAAAGTGACGTCTCATGGGGTCCGTCGAGCAGAGCCATTTCAGGAGCCAGAATGGGGAGAGAACAAGGAAAGACCTACAAATTGTAAGCAGGTCCTTTTTGTCCAAAGTTTCTTTTTCCTCCCCAACTTCAGAAAGATTTTTTTTTTTACTTTTTTGCTTGCAAAAATAGAGACACATAGTTTAGGTTCTCAGAGTTTAGAACCAGCAAAAGAGAAGGGCTTCAGAAAAATTATTTATATTGCTCATCTAGTTATATGCCCTCTTGTGTGTGTCTACTTAAATGCACATTAATATGTGCTTTCATGAGATACCATAACAGAATGGCTAAGTGGCTCGTCACGTGAGCGATTGCTCTAGTTCTCCGCGTGCTACGCCAAGCTCCGTGTCAGGCAGGGGAGTTCGCAAGGAAGGAGGGACTCCACTGAGGAGTTAGCTCTCTGGAGAGGACATGACGTATAGTTTAAACAATGACAATGGGATCACCATCCTATGGAAGGACAACATGCAATATGTTAGGAGTTTGTGGCTAACGCTGCTAAAAACAAATCCAAAATGGAGTTGCTTGTGCTAAGCACTACATTATCAAACAAAGGCTTAACTTAATTCCAGTTTGGCTTTTAGAGAAACGAAATCTGAAACAGTCCCTCAGGAATCACCTGATCAGCACTGGTTAGGTGTGTGCCTGACAGAGCCCTGGCGTCCCTTAAAGATAAGTCACCCTGCGGCAACCAGCCTGCTTTCCCCTGCCTGTGAAGGTCTTTCATTTCGTGCAACTCCTCGGAGCTTTTTTATGTCTGTTTGATTGGATGCTGCCTGATTCAAATTGATTTTTGCTCAAATAAACCCTTGAAATTTTGAATATGCCTCATTTAACAGCTCTGCTGTCAGAATAAAAAACCGTAGGAGCCCCCGAGGTCCCCCAGGAGCAAGCAGCACCCACATAGGTAGCTGTTGATCCCGTTGAGCCGCCTACCTTGTCGCTGCCTTCTCGCTGCTCCGGAGGTCATGGGTGAGCCCCTCTGGGGTCCCAGCTCCGCAGCTTCTGCATTTTCAGCTTTCACACTTGAGAGGAGCATTTCTCTTTCTGGGCTGGACCCGAAAACTGGCGGCAGCCAGACTGGGTCTGGGGTCGAATGGAGTCTGACTTACGCTGGACTGGGGCTGGGTAGGGGGGAGAGGGTGTGA